CTCCCTCTGATCTGGGCAGTCTATTTGTCCTCTAAACACTGGGTGTGGCCAGGCATGGCCGCTTTATGCCTACACCCCTGTCCTTGAGCCCTGCTGGAGTAGGCTTAGCCCAGCTGACAGGATAAAGGAGGCTTTTCTTTGCATTATAAAAGACAGAGGAGGAAAATAGCAGAAGACATCTATTTTCTTTAAAACACACACACACACACACATGCACACAACTGGTTCATTAATTTCTTATTAAAATTCTGTGTGGAGCCTGGGGAAGGAAGGAGGGAGAAGACCCTGGGGAGGGGAGGGGTGGCGGATTGCATCTACTTGTTAGCATCTGCCGAAGGTCTCCATGGAGAGAGGTCGGGAAAAGAGGAGGGTGAAGGAAGGGCTTCTTAACTGGGCACTGTAATCCTAGCTACTCGGGAAGCCGAGATCTGAAGATCTAAGTTCAACGTCAACCCCGAGGAAGGAGAAAGTTCAAGATGTTCTTATCTTCAGTGAAGTAGCAAAAAGCTAGAAGTGGAGCTGCGGCTTAAGTGGTAGAGGGTCAGCCTTTGGTGGAAAAGCTAAAGTTCAACATCCCGACCTTGAGTTCAAGCCCCGGTACCAGCACTACAAAAAACAACAACACAAAAAACCTTCTCAATATCCCTAATCAAGAGTTGGATGGGGCCCTGAGGACATCCTTCTCCTCACTACTGGCAGAGGAGAAAAATAAGACTATGGAGAAAGAGGCTTTCTTGGGCTATACAGTAAATCTGGGAGATTGGGGTTTGGACCCGGGTATCCTGCAACCTTAGGATTATGATTGCAGATTGCTTTGAATGTGCAGACTGGAGCTTTAGAGCTTGAATGTGAAGACTGGAGCTTTGGAGCTTGAATGTGAAGACTGGGGCTTTAGAGCTCCAGGCAGCAAGTGAAGGAAGAGCCCTCGATGCCCTCCATGCTTCTTTCACTGTGCTTGCTCAGCTGTATCTGCGATGGCTACCAGAAACTAGCTTGGGACCAGAGATGCCTCTCTGGAAGAGGCTGCAGAGGGGATGACCTAGGTGGTGGCATCTGCCGAGAAGCCTGGGGCAAGCTGCCAATCCATTTAGGCTCTGGGGCTAATTCTGACTCCAGATTTAACTGGCCGAGTGACCTTGGCCAGTCCCTGCCCCTACATGTCCATTTGCACATCCACGCCACGGGGTGACTCAGTGAGTTTGTGGTCGCGTGGTTACAGGTAGGGAGACAGTGAGATCCCACCCTGGCAGCTGAGCCAAGCCTTAGGGATGGGTGGTGGTACCCTCAGCATCCAGGTCTGTATTTTCCAGACAAGTCCAGTTCTGGCACTCACGATGCCTTCCCTTCCTCCCAGCCCAGCACCCAGCCTTCCTCGGAATGGATTCCAATAAAGCTCATTTTCTGCCACCAAGTTTATAACACATCCCCACCTACTGGTCTTAAACATTAACAAAGCTGTGTGGTGGCATATGGCTCTGCGTGGCCACAAGGAAGCCCGGTCTGAGTGAATGGAAGCCGGGCCAGCATACATCTTCCTCTTCACAGTGGAGAGCCTGAGGCCTCCTGCATTCTCCCCAAGCCCCCAGTCTGGCTTCTTACAATGTGCAGGAGAAATGCTGGGTGGGTGGGCTGGGGACCACATGCATCCAAAATCACACTGCACCCAGGGTAACACGGGACAGGGTCATGGCATCCCACCGGAGACCCATGCTTTCCGTGTGCGCTGCCCCAGGGCCTGCTCCTTCCTCTTGTTCTCTTCCTGCCCTCTCTGCCTCGTTATTCCCTCTCTCTCTCTTCAGTCTCTTGCCCCAGAGCTCCCCTTCCCAAGAGCCTGCTGTGTGTGGAGCATGGGAGAAGGAGATTGATGAGTGCAAGACATAACCCCTGCCTTAAGACAACAGTGTGGGTACCAGGATGGTGATCCGGCAAACATGTCTAGCACCCTGTGTGAGCAGGGATAGCATGGCAGTAGGCAGTGCCAATGGCGCATACACATGAGTTGTGTATATGTATGCTTCCTTCTGCTGGGATTGCTTGTGTGAAGCCAGAGGAATCTAGGGAGACTCCCTAGAGTCTCAAATAGAGTGCTATTTGAGCTGGTCTTTGAAAGCTAAGTAAGGAGTTGAATATCCTTGATCCTATAGGCAATGGGGAGTCAGGGCTGGTTACTGAGGAAGGGGGCAAACATAATCAGCTCTTCAGCAGATGTAATCACTACTCAGCACCCACCCCGAATACTCCCATTTAAACTGAAAATAGGGGAGATCTTCCCGCAGAGATTGACATAAGAAAGTAGCCTTCACAGACATTCTGTGGAAGAAGTCTTAGGACTTGAAACTGTGGTAGTAATTGGGGGACCAGCCAGACACACCACTCTGCCCATGCCATGGGCCAAGCTGGGACCTGCAAGGGAGCGGGAACCAGTTCACATGTGATCTCTGCCCAGAAGTCCTGACAGCAAGCAAGAGCAGGGAGGTGGGCCAGAGACCACACTGCTGTGGGGAGCTGGAGGGAAGCAGCCCAAGGTCACACTGCCCCATGGCGCCAGAGGCGTGCAGAAATCCAGGCTGCTTGGCCTCCAGTCTGGCTATGTGGTCAGAACCCTGTGGCCTCACTGCTCTGCCAAACATCAAACCCTGAAGACGCCTGCCCAGGCCTCAGTGTCTTACCACGAGCCCAGAAAAATCCAACCAGAAGTTAGCCTGGAGTGGGCACCTTTCCTGATTGAAGGAAGGGAAATATGGGTGAGGTGGGTGTCAGGCAGCTCTAGTAGAGGAAAGCCCAGGGTACATTTATTTACTTATTTGACAGAGCTGTTTTTACTAGCCTTATCCATCTGCGAGATACATAGTTTTAAGCATCTGCTGGCACCTGGGGAGACTGATCATGGAAAAGGAAGAGACGTCAGAGCTCATGGTAGTCAGGAAGGAGAATGGCTGGCAGCAGAGCCTCCTGGCTCACCTCTTCCATTCTTCTTCCTACAGCCAGGCCCTGAGCCCCATGCGAACTGGCACTGCCAGCACTGGCTTGTATGGACAGGGAGAACCTTAAAGCCACCACTCCAGGACTACTGGGGGACAAAAAGGCCTGGAACCTACAGGAAAGAAGTCAGCAGCTACTCCCAAGAATGATATAGGAGGCAGGATGGCCAGGGAGGGTCACCTAGGGCTGTGGTGGCATGTAAGCAACGGGAAAAGCTCTCCAATACCAGGCTGGGGGATTAGGGAGGTGGGTCATGGGGACCTAGAGACAGCTGCCTGGAGACAATACCTGGGATTGAAACTGGAACTCTTGAGAGCAAAATGCAAGAACCACACCTAGACCCAAGGCCTGAGCTTGCAAGCCTCTTCCTGCTGGGTATTCAAGCTTCTTGCTCCTCAGGGCCACAAGGCCAACATACACAGTTCCCAGGAGCAGACAGACAGACAGACAGATCATTTCCTGGCTGCCTCTGTTTCTTCCTTGCAACATGGATGATGTTTCTGGCTCCTATTGAACCTCTACATTGCTCCCCTATCCTACCCCTGTAGGGGACCCTGCCCAACTCATTGCTGGATAAAGACTTGAGGCTAGCCACTGAACAGAAAACAGCTCCCCAGAAGCCATGGGCCAGCCAGGAAGAGCCAATCGATCCACCGAGGGTGGAGAGTCTGCTTCCTCCCCGCCCCCCGCCCCCCCCCCCCCAGCCTCTGGACCCCATGAATCTTATTCAAGAGTCCATTTGCTTTCTTTTACTTCCACCTTTAGAAACGCTCCCTGCTCAGGGTGCAGGGTGAGGAGAAAGCTGGGCATCACAAACAGAAGGTCCTCCACTAACACCTAGAGCACAGGGTCCCCCCTCAATGAGACCCCCACCCCATCCCGTCCCAAGCTTGTCCCCCTCAGTGTCGGGCATCGAAGCTCCCCAACTCGCTCTGGCTGGTGGGGGGAAATGCATCCCAGGTCTGCTGGCTTCACATTGGGAGGGGGCTTGGGGCTGCTCCTCTCCCCTCTTCCCCCACCCCAGCTGTCCCTCCCGGCTAGCTGGCTGGGTCAGCGCCCCTCATCGCCTGGAGCGTTTCCAGCTTGCGGGAGGCCCGCTGCAGCTCCCTGGCGTCTGGTCTGAGCTCTCACTCTTTTTGAAAAAGGGGTAGGGGGGAGATATTGTTCCGAGACCCTCTGTACACTCTCCCCCCCCCCAAATCCCCGCTGTCCCACAGCCAAAGCGCGCCAAGACGGGCCCCTCCTTCCCCCACCCCGTTACCGCGGAGCCCCGGGGCGAGCCTGGGGAGCAGACGCAACAGATAGCAGACCGCCAGAGCTCGGATCCCGCCCGCTCCCTCCGCGCGCTGCCCGCCCGCCCGGCGCCTGCGGCCCAGCGCATCCCCCCTCCACCCCCACCCCGGCCGCCCTCCGGGGCTCGGCGGGGGCCGGCCCTGTAGATGCAGCTCGCTGCTGGACTTCGGCAGGCCGGCCTCCGCCGCTGCCCGCCCCGGGTCTGGCCACTTCCCTTCTCCCGAGGATCGCCGCAGGAAGCCAGGCAGCGAGCCCGCGGCGGCTGTGCACCAGCCTGCGCGCCAGGGGCCAAGGAAGGCGCGATCCAGCGGATCACCACCGTCCCCCTTCCCCGCCGGGTGGGCTGCAGGGCGAGGAGGGGGGGGGGGCCGGCGGGGTGGGGAGAAGCAGGGGACACGATCCAGCGGGTTTCTAGGAGCCCTGTAAGATTTCCGTGGGCGGACACGCCCCCAAGATGCTTAGGTTGGGATCCTTCTCTTCCCACCCTTCTCCTGCACCCGGCTGGGTCCCCTCCGCGGGCTCGAACCTCGGACTCCCCGCTGGGGGGCTTGGCTGCCGGCGGTCATTCGAGCTGCAGCCCGTAAGGCAGGTCTGGGAGCCGTGGCCGGAGTGTGTGTGCGTGTGTTGTGTGTGTGTAAGAGGGGGTGCTCTCCTAGTCCTCCCTGCGCCCCCCTCCAGTGGCGCCCGCTGCATCTTCACCCCCGAGTCTGCGCCGCGACACTTACCGTGGGCGAGCAGCGCCGAGAGGCAGAGCAGGGCGGCGCCGCCGCGGCCCGACATCCCCGGGGCCATGGCCGAGGCCGGGGGGAGGGGAGGGGAGGCGGGAAGAGTCCGAGGTGGGGGCGACAGTCCACGGCGACGTGGCCCCTGGCGGGGCTCGGTCACATCCAACTCACTGTGAGGCTCAGCTGTCTCTGCGGAGGCTTTGTGGTCGGTGGTGATGGGTGGTGAGGGTGGTGGTGGGGGAGACCCAGGGACCGCGATCGGAGGGACGCTTGGCGGGGAGGGGGCGTCCCAGACGCCGCCCGGCGACACCCCGGGAAGCTGGCCGAGGAGACGCGGCTCGGGGCGGGAGGAGCCTCCACCTCCCTCGGCTGGTGCCCCCTGCAGGATCTGCCAGGCGAGGGGTGTGTTGGGAGGGAGGGAGGGTTGGTGGGGAGTGGGGGGCACCGCACGTGCGGTTCCCGGGGAGCGCCCCCACCCCACCGGGGAGCCCGCGGGAGTCCCGGGTGCGGAGGGTGCTGCTTGCTTAGATTCTGGTGCCGGATCTCGGGGCCTCGCGGCCCGGTTGGAGTCGGTGCGCGTGCGAGGAGGGTGCGGGTTCCCAGCGCCCGCCCCGGTGGCTTCGCTTTCGGCGGGCACCCCGCATGGAGAGCGCGGCTTCCCTTCCTCCCAGAGCCCGGCAGCGACCCCGGAATAAATAATAATAATAATAGTAAAAATACAAAAAAATCCCAGGTCAGGTGGCCGAGGGATGATCTCTCTTTCCCAAAGAGAGAAAGGAGAGTGAGGGGGAGGGGGGAGAAAAAAAATCCAGGCAACTTTAATCCATCCAGAGAAGGAAAAGTTTCCGTGCAGTGCTGAGACCAGGCGACACGGGCCGCCACCCCCCGAGGCGACGCCCAGATGGAACGGCCAAGGCGGGTGGCCCGAGGTCGGTCCCCTCGCAGAGCTCCTTCCGGGACTCCAGCGCGCTCGCTCCAGTCTCGACCCGGGCGGGCCCCGCGCGAACACAGGCCGGCTCCGTGCCTCCCGGCCGGCGGGGCAGCGGTTCCGCAGCTGGGGGGAGAGATGGCGGTACGGCCGGAACCGGCTACCCCATCAAGATGGGGTTTGGAGAACACGAAGGAGCTTGTGGGAAAGCAAGCTAACGTTCCCGGACCCGAGTCCTTCCAGCCGGCAGCGTCGACTCCAGCCTCCAGCCCATCAACGCCGTAGGATGGAAAAGGAGGGGAGGGCGCTCGGCTTAGCCCGCGGCGGCTCCGGGCCACCCTTCTCTGGCTCTCGGGTCTCCGGTGTCAGCAGAGGGGGTGCACTGCCCCGCTGGTTTCTCCGTCTTCCCTGGGGGAGGAGGGAGAGGGTTGGCTGCACAAACCTTGAACTTTCCCGAGGTTCACGCTCTCCGATGGCTCCTTCTCCCAGCTGCCCCTGCCCGGCCCCCCCTCCCCGGACGCGCGCTCTCCCGCTGTCTCCGGGACGGCGGGACACCGACGCTCGGCTCTCCCGGGGTCAGTTGAGATGAGCGGATCGCCGCACCAGTCCGGGCTGCGGGTGTCCAGACGTGGGCGCGGAGCCAGGGGACCAGGGTACCCCGGCACCTGCGCAGCCCCGGGCTGGGGACGAGGCAGCCGATGCCTTCGGGGCCGAGTAGAGAGGGGGTGCTGGCGGCGGGGGGGACCGGCTCCCCATGGACGTGTGTGTGTAAGGGTGGGGGGAGAATCCAGGAGCAAAGAGGAGGCGTGGGGGCTTCACAGTTGCAGGAAGCCTTGGCCGCCGCCGTCGCCTCTTTCTCGGCGCTCGCGCCGGCTGCTCCGCCGTAAATGACTGGAGAGGGAGAGCAGAGCGAGGCGCACGCTCGCGCCCTCCCTCCCGGGTCCGGGGATCCAGCGCGCCCACCCGGGCAGCGGCGGGCGCCGAGCTGGGCGCGCTCGCTCCCCTCCCCGCCCGACTCCCCGCGGTCACGTGGCCCTGGAGCGCGCGGCCCACGGCTTGCGCGCCACGGAGACCCCCCCCCTCCGCCCCTCCGCTCCCCACACCCCTGTCCCCCCCCCACCATCCCCGCACTCCCACCCCCGTCTGTCCACGTGTCCGTTCCGCATTCCCAGCCTGGGGGCGCGCGCGCGGCTCCTTCTGGAGATTCGAGCCGGGGCTGGCCCGGCGATTCCGCGCTCCGGGTTTACGCTTTATTATTATTATTTCCACCCCCCGCCCCTTCTCCAATGCAGGCCGGCGCTGGGACCCGAGCGGGGCCGGCCGGCGGCGGCAGCCGCCACCGCAGTCACCGCGGTCCCTTGGCAAAGGATGCCAGCTCCCTGCCGGGCGCCGGAGGTGGTTGTTTTTCAGCCGATCTACCAGAGGCGCGGGTAGGGGGCCTCTTAACCACCGCCCCCCGCCCCCAACACCCAGAGCCTGCGTGGGTTTGTCCTGGGGACCCGGTGGGAACCAGCCCGGCGGCTTGTGGCCGCGCCCAGCTCCGCCCCGGCGGCGCGGGAGCTCTCGGGGGCTCCGCTCGGTGCAGGGAGGCGCAGGGAAGAGGGGCGGGCGACGGAGGGCAGGCCCGGTTGGTGGGGAGGAAGGAGGGGACTGCGAAACCCACAGGTTGTTTTTGCAAATCTCTAAAAAGGTCTGGGGTGGTCGTGAGGAGCCTGCTGACGAGAGGAAAGGGGGGGTGGTCTCTTCCACTGGAGTGCAATCTCCATCAGACCCGACGAGGCAATCAGACATTGGATCGAGGATAGTGATTTTATAGCATCATGGGGCATCGCGTCCCCCTAACCCAGAAGTAACGTTGGATGGATGAGGGGCGCTCCATCCTCCCCTCAGGGGCAACCGTAGTCGCCCCTGTGACTTTTCCTTTTAATCCAAGAAAGGGACATTTTGTTTTTGGAAAATGGTCTTGGACCGGATCCTGGAAACCTTCCTTCTCTTGGGCTGATGATGATCGTGGTCTCAGCTTAATACCGGGGGATCTGCAGGAGCAGCTCTCCCCTCTCCCACTGCTATGTGTCTGGAACTCTGAGGTACAAGTGTGGAGGGGTGCGGCGGGGAGAGGGGCAGGTGCGGATGTTGCAGGCTCTGAGGATGGAAGGTGCTGGAGTAGTCAAAGAAGATGATTCTCATTAAGCCTCTAATGCGGGATGGCAATTAATGTCACCCAAGGGCTTATTAACCATCCCACTGAGAGGCACAAGCCAGCAATCAGCCTGTATGTGTGGGAGAAGGGGAAAGAGCCACCCCCTGAGGTAGGGGAAGGAGAAGGGGGGGGCCTTTCACAGGCCCTTCTCCAACAGGAGTGCACTCAGGATCTGGGGATGGCCAGAGGGAAGAGGCAAGGTGTCTCCGTCCTTCTCCACAATATTGTGTAGCTACCTTTGGAGCAAGAGGGTCCTGGGTTTCAGGCCACTGTCTTCCTGCCCATCCTCAAAACAAAACTGTTCTGGTCAGAGCGCCTGTGACTCAGTCACGGACTCTGTGCCTGACTCAGTTTCCCCTCTTCTTGCCAACAAACTTTGGTGAATATGTCCAACACCATAGGCATTACGGGTACCATAAGGAGCCAGAGAAACCAGCTTTGTTCCACAGGGAACATCCCTTCTGGAATGGAAAGCAAGACACTGAGCTTGTGACCACATACGGTTGTGGCACCTGGTTGTTGTGCGTTTTTGTTCATCTTCTGAGCAGGAAGAGACTTGTCTCAGGAAAAGCCAGGGGCTCCTTGCCATTTCAGCCCAATTCTTCCTGTCCTTCCACTGAGGAGCTGCTCTTCAGTATGTCCAGAGCCTCCTGCTGGGTCAGTAGACCCATTAGTCCTTCCTTCATCCTCCACAGTCTATGACTCCTTCTTCCCTACCTCAGAAGGGAAGGAAGGGCTCATAATCTTTTCCCCACCTCACCCCCCCTAGAATACCTAATAATTCCTATTCCAGTTCGCCGGGGACCTGTCACTCTTGGCAGTGCATGTTCTAGGACTCAGGGAGAAAGCAATTAGCAACAGGCAAGTCAGCCAGCTGCTCTGCCTGGTCCAATCCCACCTGCCATTTACCTGGGAAGGAGCTGATGCATTTCTCACTGCCCTTGGCCTTCCCCGTGAATCCTCATTCTAGGTTTCCAGATAGCAATGAAATGGGAGAGGCTAGTGGAGTAATCCCAGGTGGAGCCCAGGGAGGAGAGAGGTCCTGGTAGGGCTATTCTTCACTTCTGTCTTCTAGGAGAGCCCTACCACACCTTCTCTTCCTGGTTGGGGCTGAGTGTCTTTTTGGATGGAAGATTGTTGATATGGAGGGTTGTCTTCATTTCCAACTCCTGGCTCTAGCTTCCTTACAAGTACAAGGGCAGTGAATGGGGCTCTGTCCCAGGCTCCAATGCCCTTCATAGATGACCACCAATGACCCCATACTGAAACTAGCACCTACTCCCTGTCCTGCCTGACCTATCTTCACAGGGGACAGGTGATACCTGACCTCCAGCATGTCCCTGGCTTTCAGAATACTTCCTGATGAACAAGACTGTCACTGAGAGAATGGTCTTGGGACTACCCTGGATCACTCATCTGTGTCAGCAGAAAGAGGGCCCTAGTTTCCTAAACTAGCACTCCTCCTTTACCACTGCACATAACCAAGGCCTGCTACTTCCATCATTTTATTAAGCTCTCATTGTGCGGGAAGCATCATGCTAGCTATTAGAATGCACAGGCTGAGCAAAAGTTCAAGAACCTGTACAAAACCATATTGAGAAGCTGGTGATACTAGCAGCTGATGTTAATGAGGGCTTCTTCTGTGCCAGGTACGGTGCTTGGCATGTTGCTTGGCATTACCTGGATCCTTGCTACAAACCTGTCATTTCCAGATGAGAAAACTAAGGCTCCAGGAAGCTAAGTGTCCTGCCTAGTGTCACACAACTAGAAAGATTGCACGGCTCAGTTATGTAACCTACTTGACCACTTTTACTGTGATAGGTAACAGCTCAGTTTAGAGATGGCAAGCTACCATGCTTACTGGACACTCTTATGAGCAATAGGGCTCTAAGCACAAACAAGCCATGAGCCCAGGGTGATCAGTGATGCTGCGGGCCAG